TATAACTGAAACCAGTGGTGACTAGTCCCTTTAAAACCTTGAGAGTCTACAAAGAGCAGGCCAACCAAGATTATTTTGCTATGAGGTTGATGGTTGCTGGTACACCCAGATTAGAAAATTCGAACAACATATCATGGGGTTGTGTTTCAGCGTGACTAGGCGATCATTTTCCCTTTTTTAGAAATGGGTGACTTTGGGATGGTTAATTCCTCTGGGAATGTTTGACATAATCACACAATATAGCGTAGTTAAAGCTACTTCATTTGACTTAGAAATATGTACATCTGAGTTAAATTGCGAAATGCAGTCCAGTTGTCGGGACTCGTAAAGTGCGTAATGGTACTCAGAAAAGTTGTGGAAAAACGTTAGAGGTTTATGATTGGAGAACAAAGCGAATTCACAGCATTTTACAGAGTATTAAAAAGGCCGTACGAACAATAAGAAGCTAGAAGTTCACTGCCGCATTGCTGTACCTCGATTCATTGTCTTGGAACTATCTCCAAAAAAGTCTCAAAGCTTTGTTTTCCCATTGCTGTATAACTCCTGTTGCTGGATCAGAAGTGTCTACAGATTGTGTCTGGTGTTTTATATGCGTAGTCGACTTGAGGGTACTGTATTACATTGCAGCAGATGCTTTCCTCTGATTATCATCTAGTTTGATTATATCTCCATTCTGACATAGTTAAATTCACTCATCATGGACGCGCGATATTGTACGAATTGTCGATAAAAACTTAGAAGACCGTTTAGCTCGCTCGATAGTTTGAGGATAGCCAATTCTGGATAATTTAGAATGCCCACCGTTTTACTTCCCAGAGGGCGAATACCCTTTGGTTCACTAGTATGCTCTGGAAAGTCTAGAGAGTACGTTACAATCTGACATTTCTGAATGTTCTCAGTATTGCCATGTTCTTAGAGTCGTTTAAAAATAAGTTCCATATGTTGGATAATGGATTCTTGAGTTCAAACAGTCATCAACATAAGCGTGCATAAATTCGAGACCTTCACATTTGCTGTTGCTGAATCCGAAAATTCCGCGCTGCATTACTTAAATCGAAAGGCACGTCTAAAAAGCATATAGTTTTGGGGATGGGATGATTGCCGTCTTAAAATCGTCGTCCACAGATGTGGCGATCCGACTATACTCTTTACCTAGGCCGATTTGGGTGTAATGGTCATTCAAATATTCAATCTTCCAAAATGGTTTTCGTGCAGGGTCACTGATAATCGCAAGTTTGGCTATAGCTACTGATGCCCATCTTAAGGAATCATAAGCAGAGGAGATTCCTACAGTCTGCTTGATAAGAGAGTTATTCCTAAATGGATTTAGTAACTGGATTCGTTGTCGGATTAATGTAACTACTCAGGAGCTAGTTGGTACACTTACGAAAATGCAGATGGTCCTGAAGTCGTGATATGATGTGTAACATTATTAATTGTACACAGTGACTTATACCGTGTTTTGTATAGTTTGTGATATTTGTTAAGCATCATTTGGAAGTGCAAATTAGTTTGGTGCTAGATTGTTATTGGACATAACTTGCAACCAAAAAAGAAGCTCCGCAGAAAGATAATTTAATGTCTCTGTCCACTAGCTTCCGTTTGCTTGAGTCGATAAGTAGGTTGTGGCCTTCAGCAGGTTTATTCCGATGATTGTTACTTGCGAGCATGAGACAGCAAAAATGTAAATGGTATTGCGTGACCCTGCGTCAAAGTAGATGTACGGTTTACACTATGTGATCTGTTTTCAGTTTGCCACCTGTAAGCCGGATACCAAACCGCTGCGTCATTGTCCAAAAGATAGTAAACATTCGTTAGCACTAGATTTATGTGAGATAAACGGCTACATCCACAAGCTGCTATTTTCCCTTAACATGTACTGGTGTGGAATGTCTGTAAAGGTTTGTTATAGCGGAAACTCTTAGGTTGAGGAAACTGTAGGGTTTCTTGCAGGTTCTGGAAGATTCGCTGTGGAATTTGTGATACCGACACCAGTCAACGTCAGTTGTTTCATGCCGTCTTAAGATAGATCTTTTCCGTGATGAGCATTTTTAAAAAGTTTCCGATTGTCTACTGTCGTGCCACAGAGTCAATAATCGAGTGTGAATATTATGGACACCTTAAGTTTCGTTTTAAGTCAACTGAATCTCTTCCCTTCCAGAACAAACCTCAGTGCCAGGGTCCTGATAATTTCCAGAATCAAGCTGGCAAGTGATGTGTTGGTGCCTGTAGGTAACTCTCGTTCTATTGATAGAACCCAGATTAGTAGTGAATAGATCCTTATTTAGTTCATGGGACAGTCACAGTAGAACAGTAGGTTACCTGTTCAAACACACGAAGCTTTTCAAAATTCGGCATAAGATAATAGGGGATATCATGCCTATACGAAATAAGAGAATGAATGAATACTCGAGCTCTGTTGCTTTAACATATACTTAACTGTTCAACCTAAGTTGTTACAAAGTCAGTTGACTGACGGCTTTATATCGGGATGAGACGTGAAGCACCCGAAAATGCTGAGATAGCTTTATTAAATTGAGTCATGTAGATAGGCTTTTTTCGAAGGTTCTCTAACCTGTGACCTATCTCATTCGCAAGAAATTTCTGTTAAGGCATCGTACCATAGTTTGATATCGCTGAAGAGTGTGCAGTGATGTTGGTTCCTAACCAAACGATATTTGAATCTGAACGCGTAATTACTGAGAAGGTTTAATTTCAGCATGTAACGACTGATGAAGTTCAAAAATGGTGAATGAGGAAGCGGCAATTAAAAATGATGTGACTTCCATGTAAGGTCTTATAGACTAAGTAATTACATCATGACAAATTTACAGTTTTGGAATTAAGTCTACTTATATAGTGGCAAAGATAAATGTACTGGTACCAAACAAGACCATAAATTTACAAGTTCATTTAGCCGTTGACAATATTTAAGGGGAACCTTATCAAAAGTTTTATTTGATTCTGAAACATCAATACGTAGTAAGTGAACATACCCGTTGCCTTTGTGAGTAGTTTCTTCACTACTGCGAGAAAATACCTTCGTTTGTCATTCATGCTGTGTTCATGAAAGTCACGTTCCGAATAGTAGAACCAGGTTTAGATATTTTCATATTAGACTGGCATTGTTTGTAAAGTGAAGGATGGAGGAGTACTGATCCTTATAAATTTCAGTGTGTTTCTGCGTAATATAGGAATAAAAATTTTAATGTAAAAGGTCAAAAGGAGAGAAGAATGCATCACAATATATAAAAGCATACATAAAACATTTGGTGGCCCATGGATCTGACTCCTATTTAGATCGTATAAATGTTTGTTATCGCCTATTCTCGTATATCATCTCGACTTGAATCGCGTTATCCAATAACGGAATTAAATAAGTCGAATAACGAGAATTGACTTGAGAATACATATATTTCATAAAATGATAATTTGTTCGGTGAGTGATATGATTGCGAAAATGTCAATTTAGTGACAGCACGAACAAGATTAATAATTCCACATTCGGTCATGATATTGACAATAATGTAATAATAAGCATATAATGATAATTTGAATCGTAATTGAACAAACCGACGAATGGCTCAATGAGAATGGTTGACATGAGTAAAAAGTATCGATAAGATAATACGACTTGAGCATGTCCATGTCATGTTGCACGGGCTGTGCTGATTGCGTCGGATTGGAGATTGCGCTGGCTTCGCTGGATTTGTTCGCCGTCAGTGTGCTTATCATTTTGGAGACCCGTCATTTTGATTTTGTCCTCGTTTAGATCGGAAGATGTTCGTTGAAGGGCTCACCTTCTTCACTGGCCCGATGATCTGACTCCAAGATCGTACGAACGTTTGTTATCGCATATTCTCGTATATCACCGTGGACTTTAATCGCGTTAGTCAATAACGGAATTAAATAAGTCAAATAACGAGAATTGACTTGAGAATTCATATATTTTGTACATGAAGCGAATGAAACAGAGTAGAGCAAAATGACACGCAGGGAAGATGGCTGGGAAGCCAACTCCATTTTATTCAAGCGTTACTCAATATTTATAGTCAGACAAAATAAAGATACAGACATGTGATAATGGAATAAGAAGGGCACATACATATACGCTCATATAAAAACAATCAAGACTGATAAGCGAATAATTGACAAGGTCAAAATATGACTCAAGTAGAATGAATAAAATGGGATGTCCGGAAGCTAGAATAAGGTATATGGGCTTGACATAATAACTGACACTACAAACATTACCACGAGGAAAAGGCTCACAGTTTACTGTGTGGTGTATCAGACAGTATCCAGGCTCATCAACGAAACTGCCCTTGATGTTCGGTATTTTTCAACGCTACTAACCCAAGTTTCTTTTTGTAAAAGGATTCCAAAGATAATGAAGTCACAAGTACAGGAGCACGAGGTGGGGAGATGCTATTTCACTATAGCCAATGTGTCGAAGTGTATGTAATCTAAATCGATTAATTGTTATAAGCGAATGACAGCAAGATGTGTTCGAATATGTTTTTGTTAGCATGCTTGATGGAAGACCGTCGAAACCATCGTCGATATTGAAAACTTACAAAACCATTCATTTAGGGGATTCATATACCATTACTGTGATGTACATGTTTTACCTTTGCGCACTCTTTATTACTAGTTTTGGAAGAAGAGGCGTCAGTGCCTTGAGAAGAGGAGACCAAACGATAGGCAAGGCATGTTATAGAAAGACTGGCATATTACTTGGCATTTTATCCACAAAACACATTAATATGAACCCAGAGCTTGGAAAGTTGACGGTGAATTCACTGACTGCAGTTTGAAGTGTAATGTAATTCATCTTAGACGTGTTGTAAATGTATAAAACTCAGGAAATTCCTCAAGATGACTAACCGCCACTATAATTAGAATATTGTTAGGCGAAGTTCCTTCTATCAAGTTCAAAGCCATATGAGTCTGAAATTCGGCAGAATGCGGGACTTTTGATCTCAAGGCCGGATCGTATTATGAGCGTGTGCGATCTGTCGGTCTTTAGTTTTATTGATCACTTAATATCGAAGTCAACATCTCGGTTAACTATTCGTGGACTCAGTAATAAAAAGCTGAAAAGGATTCTGCGGATTCAGTCCTATGACCTGAATTTCAATTTCCAGAAAGGGCCACACAAGTGACTTTTTTCTTTTCAATACATACTGTTCAGATATTCAAGTGGCAAGGTTTTTCATCCCCGAAATAGTATCTTTGAAAAGTTGCACGAAATTATAAAGTTCGAATTAGAAAAGTCCGGAAATGAGAAACAAGCCCGTCGTCTTGATGCTTTAGTTAATACCCTTCCGGAAATTAAAGGTATTATACTACTCAGCATTAGTATAACGTAGAATTTACGAGTCAACTTATTTTTATATATCTTGTTGCCAACAGAACTTGCAAATTTTACGGTGATTCTGAGATGTATGAACATTCCGAGGTTGTTCTAACTTTCGTTATATATTTTTAGACTTATTTAAATCCGGAATCATCTGTTTCATACAGCAAACTCACAGGGTAATTTTTTAAAAATTCTCTCAAACTTCATTAGTCTTAGTAATCTTGGATGTATCAGTCCTTTCTCATCAGTGAAAATGCAATATTTGTCTACAACTTCAGTTAATGTATGCTTTTACTTTGTTTTATGTAAAGTTATTACGTAGGCTTATACATTCCCATCGGAGAACATAGCTCTTAGTAATCACTGTGCATCAAGTGTTCTACTGAAGACCATTCGCACCACCGCTTATTCGAATAACATGTTTAACGTTGACCCTACTGGTGTTCCGAGTAGCATTCACATGAATAACAGTTGGATAAGGTTCAACATTCCAAAAGCTTCACGATGTCCAACAATTTCTAGGTAAGCCGATTATTTCAAGTGCTTTACCCAAATTACGTCGATGTTATTTTTTTTTGAATGTATATATGAAGTTGTGGTCTAATGACTTTTTGTGTTTACTTATCACACACAGTTTTGCTAACATAAGATATCAGCCATTATGTACTGAAAGGTTTTCTATGTGCCATAGTCCTCCGTTTATCCTAATTATTAGCCCATTCATTGGCACAACTACAACGAGTGTGGTGTATACCTTTTGACAATGGTGCCGTTATTGATATTATACGTCGCAATAGCACAGGAATAGTTTAACAGAGACTGTGATTATATTGTCACATAAACTACTTTTGTATTTTAAGAATATTCACATGTAGTGACATATGATTTAGTGTCTACTTTTAGCAATTAATACTCACCAAGGTATGGAGTCTTCTGTGACTAAAGTAGCAAGAGAAGGTGTTGTTAATTTCCACCTATCGCTTATTCCACCGAGCAATTTTAACGCATACGGATACATAGTTGCAGTCTTGTAGTGTAATTAACTGGTCGTTTAATATGTACCGAGAATTAAAAGCCTCCCTTATGGGATTTATGTTACTTTGAAGATTAGATTATTTAGAAATCCATTACGTTCATGGCTTTTTGTCATGTTGCTGTTGATAGCTGGCAAAGTTCGATAGTCAACGTACTGAATTCTCAAATATATTCGCCTCTGCATTATATCTAGTATACTATATCACGAGCAACTCGTTGGTACTTCTGTACAGTAGGTGCGGTCCTGTTATCATATGACAACTAGTTCTGTATTCTAAATGCTTTATTCAGGCTCTTGGTATTTTGGGTTAGTGACAGTTATAGAGGTAATCACTTGAATAAGTTATATTTCTACAAAATTAGTAGCTTTTGTGCACTTAGAGAAATCGTTTATACTTACATACTTTTTGCGCTTCCTTTTCAGTGATGTAGATTGTACTCGCCCTTTGGTAGGTGTTGTCTTTCCCAATTAATTATATCTTTATTAGCCTAGAGCATTGGATGAAGAAGATGAAGGTTACTGTGAGTCATTTGTTAGGACAGATTACCGTTTACTGAATAATGAAGACATAGAAAATGCCATATTTCGTCTTTTTTCTCAATATTCTACGGCCATCGGTCAAATGCTGGTTAATGAAATATTCTACTCATCTTTTGAACCATATTTCAAGGGGATTCCGAGTGATACAACTCTTCTAGCCAACAAAACTTTGGATACTATTTTGCCACCAGTATCTCCAAGTTATGTCCAGAACTTTTCCTGGGAATCCAGAGGGATGTAAGTTTTCTGTTTTGTTACACATGTTTATAAGTTTAAGAGTCCTAAAAACGAACATTCGGACACTAAATTAAATTAGACGATGGAGAATACTTATGACTCAAATTGAAGTCTTTAAAGAAGTAATTTCTAAGCTCAGCAAATAACATTAAATATTAGCAAATAAAAAAGATTTATGGTGGGTTAATATGACAATCGATCTACAAAATTTCGAATTTAACAGATAAGCTTTAAAACGTCACTGGTTGTTGAATTTATCTGGCATGATAGTGACGTGTGTTTTATCAGTTAATGGACCAGATTCTCAATTTGCAGAACATGTGCTTCGGTCTTGTCATGCTTACAAAGGTTTTAATTGTCCACTGATATCATTAGGCTTTACGCAACTGGTGTGACTCGTAACATAACATACAGTTTTGTAATTGTTGACTACGTCGCACGCATTAACGATGGGTTGACCATTTTTATTCTGCCAAAGTATAAGTAAGTTAACTTTGGTAACTACTGACATCAGCTTTATCTCGACTTCGTCTCACGACGTCATCTTAAGAAAAGATAGGGATATATTTTATCAAAGCCTAGACTGTTGAACCAAGTATTCAACAATAAGAGAAAATTATTTATTTTGGAATGTAAGCACTTCAAACAGATGTTGCATGCAGAATTAAACATGCTTTCTGACCCTTTCAGTCAAAGACAAACATCACGTTCAATACATTACATTTTGGGATAATGAATTCAATAGTTTCTTTTATTTTCTCTCATTTTTAGCGGATGTCTAAACAAGGAACTACCTTATTTGAGTGAAACTGGTCCAATTTCTGCCGAAGCTGTTCTCGCTGCCAAAAAGTCGAGATTTGGTTTTTTGTCGAGCAATAGCGAAGCGGAAGAGGCTCAATCAACTGTAAAGCTCCAGAGTACCACAATAAAATTACCACTTACATACAATGATAACTTTCTGCACGATCTTTTGGTGTTGAGGATAGGCATTCAGTCTGATAGGTTCCAGTTCTTGGGAACTTCCAGACCAAGTCAGACTGAAAATGTTAAGCACTCTTTTTCATATCCACTAACTGGTCATTTCTTGTGGATACCACATAAATGTGATCCTATTACGTTGGGCGTTTCATCCCAGTGCTTATCACATTTCGTCACTGGTCATATCAAAGTTGGAACTAAATACAGACAGCTGTGTTGGTTTGCCCATCACTCTATTTCGCTAATTCCGACTTGTGAATCTGATAAGTCTGTTTGGCTTGGACAGATATGGGCTTGCTTTATTCAGGGATTAAAAACTTGGTTACGTACGTACGAAAACTCGGTTCACTCAGTGTTATCGAAGCTATCGAACATTGGCGAATCTAAACTTCTTCTTATTACAGAGAGCTTACATTATCTTTCAAAACAGATTGAGTAAGTTGTACCATGTGATACATTTTTTGTGTTCTAAAGCTTCAATAAGTCTTACCACTAACAAAAGTATTTTGAGATATCGACCGATTCTCAGGTAAAGGTCTAATTTTCCGCCTTAGTAGATCCCATCTGTCTGAAATCTATGTCTCACTGGTCAACAGTTACATCCTCAAGCCAGTGATTAGTAACCCCTTTGCCTAAAGTGTACAGATCCACGAATTTGTTGACAGTTAGTTTGAGCCGCACTGGGAAATGACAAGCTATCGAAATCTAGAAGCTAAAAGTTTTCGTAATATCCGTTGTTCAATATCTGTCACAATATCGCAAATGCATTGATTCTTTTATATTCCTACAAAAAACCTCATCGTTTTATGCTATATTTGCATTGAACTAGGTATTAAGATTCTTATTTTCATCTTGAAGTTTCATTATTTACAATTAAAAATGTACTACCAGCCAAGTGGGAAATATGTTGCTGATAAATGCTTTTCAGAAGCATTGAAATAAATGGAAATAAAGTGTTATTCAACCATCATTCACGATAGATTCTTTTTGATGGTATGAATTGGCAGTTTGTACGCTCAACTTCTACCAATTACGTCATTAATTCGAAAATTCCAAGTTACTCGGTTTCGATAGCAGGGTGTTATTCATAGCTCTCAATAATTATGACCCACTTGTTTTCTGGTGATTAATACTACTACTACTACTACATATTTTCCAAAAACTCATTTGTTAGAGTAGATTTCGAATTCATTCGAGGACAACTGGTCAAGAAATATGGTGGTATCAGTATCAAATACTTGGCTTATAGAATTGACAGCTGCTTTCTTTTTACTCATAGACCTTCGAGTAGATGTTATTCAGTTATGGAAAGTATCCTAAGATTGAAATATTCACCACAAAGTAAACATATTTCATTGCTCATTTTTGACTTCTATATTGATTTCCTGAGTTTTTTTGAAGACAACGTTTTATGTCGATAAAGTCGAAAGCGGTGATAGACACTCACTAATCAAACTTAGTGATAGACGCAGTAAGTCACAAACTGAAACAGAAAAATGAACTATTGGATCCAGATATAAAGCCTTAATTAAGTGCATGGCACTACTTTTAAAGGCCTTTATTTCACTCAAAACGAGGTTTAGTAGGGTTATTCTTTGGGAGTCGCAAACTGAGATTGGACGGCTACTGCCTGATTTGCAGTAATTCTTTATCTGATATCAGCGTGATAAAAACTATACTCTTTAGACTGATAAAGGGGGTAGAAAGTTTGTACAGACAACCAACTATTGATGTATATTCATATTTCGTTTCTCACAGGTTTGTCTCCGACTTATGCATGCTCAATTATGATCAATCAAATGTTTCCACATATCCACTGGCTAAACTTCATGGCATAGCGTTATTGGCCTACTTAATGTCAAAGACAGATGGTTGTATGTCTCATGGATGTGAACCAATTGTAAGATTGTTATTTAAAGAAGCTGCTCGACCGTTTATCAAGTAAGCACTGTATATTTAGACATATTTCGTATCAACTCGCACTAATCTTGTCGTTTACAGCCTTAAGATAATATGCCTTGGATTAGTTGGTTGCGTCGTAGCTCAGTAGTTTCAAGGTTGTGGTACTCACAACATTAAACTCTTCTAAAGTTACCTACCAATTTTTAATTTACAAAATGTTAAAAATGGTTACGTAAGTAGGTTTGTAATGTGCGTACTGTCTCGATAAAAATATAACCAAGACCGATTCTATTGTTCTTAGTAGAAAACTAACAGGATTGTGGCTGAGTTCTATCCTAAATTGTTGGTGTAACGTTTGGTGGCCCGTGGATCTGACTCCTATTTATATCGTACGAATGTTTGTTATCGCATATTCTCGTATATCACCGTGGACTTTAATCGCGTTAGTCAATAACGGAATTAAATAAGTCAAATAACGAGAATTGACTTGAGAATTCATATATTTTGTACATGAAGCGAATGAAACAGAGTAGAGCAAAATGACACGCAGGGAAGATGGCTGGGAAGCCAACTCCATTTTATTCAAGCGTTACTCAATATTTATAGTCAGACAAAATAAAGATACAGACATGTGATAATGGAATAAGAAGGGCACATACATATACGCTCATATAAAAACAATCAAGACTGATAAGCGAATAATTGACAAGGTCAAAATATGACTCAAGTAGAATGAATAAAATGGGATGTCCGGAAGCTAGAATAAGGTATATGGGCTTGACATAATAACTGACACTACAAACGCTTACGGCCACCGAATTGCAAAATCTTGAAGAAACCAACCGGAGAATCGTGTTAAACCAAAAATAATAGCTCCACATAGCTATCTGTCATCACATAGCGACCTGTCATAAACTAATTTCCCCCTGTCGATTGATACAGTCCTAAAAGTGACGAATGATGAGCTGTATTGAAGCTAATGAGACGAGATGCTTCAAATGTTTTAAACCACTGAAGCATCATTCAACATGAATACATTTAATCATCTACACTTAGTAAAAAGCACGTCACTACTTCAGCACTACTTACATTCGATTTGACTGTTTCGGACTTATTGTATCTGGCCTGATAAAATGATCGGTTAATGTTGATTGTATACAGATTATATGGTGCTGCTCATAGCTCGTGATACGAATTTACTCAGGTTTGATGAGTCCGGTCGTCTACTTCTTCTCACTATAGTTTTTTCACTTTTTAATTTTATTGTGTATTAAACGAAACCAACACACACTTTTTCTCTTCATTCGAGTTGACTGATCTAACTTTTAATACCTTATGGTTATTTTTTAGATTTCTTGAAGTGTTGGCTTTAGACGGAATTTACGATGATATTGGTAATGAGTTTAGTTTGATTGTTTCAAGTGAACATTTATTCAAACAAGGTCAGTATAAATTGCTTTTTTTTCTTTTCTCATATAACCATGACTTTAAACTTTTAGGCTGAATGAATATCACCATGTCATCATGATACGATTTTATAAATTTTTCTATACACATAAGTTATCTGTTCAGAACAGATTGACACTAGGAGTTGTCTTCTGTTCACATACTACTTGTAGTGCTTTATTTTGATTACAATAATCTGTGTACAGTTCAATAAACGCAACACTACTAGTATAAGACATTTAAATCAATAGTCTTTTTTATCATTTCATGATTAATTTTATAACTGAATATTAGCGAATTGATATTACTTTTTAATTCAATAATGAGTTTTGATTTACGTTGCAATTTGTATTATGTTATGAATTTTAATAAATTTCTATGTATCACAGACAATTATTCAACCAATGATAATTTATTCGTGACGATTATGGTGATCTTGTTGAAAATAACAAATGTAATAGCAATCGTAATAGCAATTTATAGGTTTATAGTCGAATTAGGTAACAGATATTTAGCAGCTAATTAAAAAAAAAACAATTTGTACGATTATGATTGTTTTATGTGTAACAAACTATATTATTAAATTAATAAGATTGGTGTTGTATGGTAATTGATTTTGAATTTGTGATTATGAATAAAGTAATTAAAAAATCGAGTCACTTGCAAAAAAATTACGATTCAAACTTTTCCTAAGACCTCAAACTATATTTTGTGTTTTTCTTATTATGGCGTTATAGACACTCCTAGTAACTTATTAAAATGTTTAAAACTTCAGTGTGGTTACTAGTGCCTAACATAGTTAGTGTGCGATAAGGCTTTCAAATTTACGGTTTTAATTAGTTGTTATCATCATATACTGATCAATGTTAAAATAATATCCGCTTAGTCATTTAGTCATGTACAACATAACTTAGGGTCTAAAAATTCGAAAAAAATGAAAATTTTGCAAATGTGATAAAAATGATTTTGGTGGTTTTGTAATAGTATTCCGATACCAGACAATCGGTTTTAAGTGTTCTTTAAGTCCTAGCGCCTCAGGCTGGGCTATTTCGTTTACTACCCTACATATGTATTGTATGGAGTATAAGCTATATTGCTATGTAGAGTTGAAGGTCTCATATGAGACTGTCGTGTAAGCGGAATAGGTCAACTTTGACCTGTTCGTTCTGTGCATAATTGATTTACGCGACCATTGATTCGAATAATTATACATGTGATGTGAATGTATATATGAATGGTGCGAATAGTCCACCAGGGTGCTTGGTACCTGTGTGGTTGCGCCACGTGATTGAGCTGTACTGTTTAGATTGTAGCGTTAAGGCCTATGTGGTGTCTGGTTCTCCTGTGAAGCGGGATTGAGTTGTATTACTCCGGCTAAGCCTGGGAGGTGTCTGCCTTTCCTGTTAAACGGGGTGGAGCTGTACCGTTTGGGTTGTCACGTGAAAGTGTGGATGGTGTTCGGTCCTCATGAAACCCAGTATAAAATTACTCTGGCCCATAAAGGTATATTATATAAATGTGATTACATAACTCGACTCAGCTACCTCAATAGAAACATATTTAAAGACCCGGTTACTGACCATTGTCCCTTGATTATAGCTCTGTAATTAACTTCTCCATTGTTCACTTGGCGTTTACATTACACGCGAATTAGTAAACGGATACTAACACATTGGCTGGATCGCCAAGTTATGTTGCAGAACTAAACACTGTTAGTTAGATTATTTCCTGGTTAGACCATTTCCTAATTTCAGGCAGGTATTAAGCCAGCTGTTTAAGTCTTAATTTCATTAAGACTTGAGTGACCTACGAAACCCATTTCTTCTAGTTCCTTATATTTTGATTGGTTGTTAACCTTGTTTATTCTTGTATTCAACATTTTATTGATTTAATAGTTGAGTTCATGAGTCAATTGAAGCTAGACCACTATGGAAAACTTGGAAGCACTGGACTGCCGTTTCTTCTTAGTATGGGACTCCTCAGCAGTGCGCATCCACAATCCCGCTCACGGGCCCCTTAATTGACTCATGGACTCAACCATTAAATTACTACACTCTCCACAAAACCCCCTTGTGATTTTGTGTATAAACGTGTTATTTTACTGAGAAGAAAATGTATCGTTCTGGTTAGTGGTTTGTGTTACTGATCTGACTTCGTGAGCAGTCATCACTTGGCCACGTCATTTCATTGCGTTCATTTATCTATCTGAAATCTATTCATTCATGTTAATAGTTCTCAAACTGTCCATCGTTCAACATATCACAATTCTTAATAACTATATAGGTACAAAATAATGTGTGCCATTAATCCTACGTATTTATGTATCACACAACTATTTTCTTCATTACCTAATTGAATGAATTCTGTTAAATTTGATGTAAGCATTTTATTTACTTAATTCCTTGATTTTTTCTTAAATGGCAATATTTAGATAGTTCATTTTGGACTGAAAGCTTTCATTTTTCAACGTACGATCAAATACTGAACACTGATATTGGGACCGAAAAGCTGATACGAGTTGCATTGAGTCAGCTTTTACCATCCGGATTTAAAGAGGAAATCTTGTGTTGTGCTAAGTCTGTGCTGTTGTTGAGGTCAATCTGTCCAAAGGTTAGATAGTTTTGTTTTAATAGTCAGGGATTTTTCCATGAATTTTCATCCTTTGAAATACTTGCAAAAGTAATGAGTTCATTTTTCTTTGTACATCTCTCGAAAATCTACAATTTTAGCACTTTCTATTTCAAACTCGCTCAAAATTTCCAACACTTGGTTTTCTGGAGACTATTGAAGAAATGTCCGATTATAATGACGCATTCAAAAAATACCAAAAATTATTACAAGATACAGCCTATGAACATACAGCTACAAGGTTAGTAAGAGTAACAGTGAAAAATATTGCAATGTTTCATAACTTTTCCCACGTTATCAAGACAGTTTAACTGTATTGAAGCATGTTTAATTTTCCTTCATCTATAAAAATTAATTTAATCATAGACTGTGTATATTCTAATTATTCTGGAATGCTTTCACTAATTTCATTACTCGATTCCGGTTAGTAAGTATTGAGCTATCCATATTTAATATTGGTCAGAGATATTCTCATTTGAATATTAGTTATTTGATTTAATGCATTAACGGTTGTAGAAACCATTATATCATCCGGAATTCATACGACGGACTACAGTGCAAAGTCGTGCATAGAGGACAGCTGACAGATGCATTGCAAGTAAGTACCGGAGTCAGACAAGCTTAATTACTCTTCCCCTTCCTCTTCTGGTGGTCGACTGGATTATGAAGACCTCGACATCTGAGGGAAAGCACGGAATACAACGAACAGCTCGGAATCAATTAGAAGATTTGAACTGCGCTGATGACCTGTCCCTTGTATCCCATACACACGAAAAAACACAGATGATGAGAACTAGTTTCGCAGCAGCCTCTGCATCAGTAGGCCTCAACATACACAAAGGAAAAAGCAATATCCTCAGATCCGACACGGAGAACACCAACCGCATCACACTTGATGGAGAAACTCTGGGAGAGGTTGAAACATCCACGTATCTGGGTAGTATCATTGATGAACATGAAAAATGTGATGTAGACGTAGAGGTGAGGATTGGCAAAGCAATGTCCACATTCCTGCAACTAAAGAACATGTGGGACTCAAAACAACTGTCAACCAATATCAGAGTTAGAATTTTCAATACGAACGTCAAAACAGTTCTACTGTGCGAAGCTGAAACCTGGAGAACTACTACAACCATCATCACGGAATTACAAGTATTTATAAACAATCGTCTACGTGTGATACTGAATGTCCGTTGGCCGGATACCATCAGGAACAGCGTACTGTGGGAGAGAACAAGGCAGCTTCCAACTGGAGAGGGAATTGGAAAACGACGCTAGTAGTCGGTATGACATACATTGAGGAAATCATCAAAGTGCATCACGAGGCAGATGCCAACTAGTAATTGTGAAGGGGAAAAGGAAAGTGTAAGGCCGAATATCATACTACATCGGGAATGGGAGGCGGACATGAAAAGGATGAATAGCAATTGGAAATAACTGGAATGGATTTCCCAGAACAGGATTAGATGTAGAATGCATGTGGGTGGCCTATGCTCCTCCACGAGAGGCAACATGCGTAAGTAAGAAACCATTTCTTTTGAAAAATTTCATTGTCTATGATTTGTAAGTTTTCACCTCTCGTGAGTCTGATTTATTGATTCGAAATTGGGATATGTTATTTCTCTGCACTATCAAGCTATAATTTCTTAGCTCTGAAATAGTCAGCTTCTCCATAATTGATTTCATATCAGGCTAATTTGTCTGTAAATTGATTTGTTTTTGCGTCAGTATGCCTGAACAGATGTATTTGTTTTATTATTTCCGTAGTAATTTACTTATTGCTTCTTGTCGTCTAATTTTCACCTTCTTCTTTAAGAAAGCAAAAGATTACTCAAATGATTAGTGAACGACAAAATTTCTTGAAATATGTGAGTCAAGTTCAATCATCAAGAGTCGCAGCCATTGAAGGTAAGCTGGGTATATATATATATATATATATATATATATATATATATATATATATATATATATATATATGACTTTATTCATAACTACTGAGAAATCCACCTTTCTTGTCAGTCTTTATTCACACTCAAAATTAGACACAAGTAAGAAATTACCTTTCCGTTTGTACACTAAGGTGCTTGCAGAGTGGCTAGGCTTTGAACGGAATCTGTTGTGCGGCTTGGATTTACGGCTTGCTTGTTAGAATCCGAGTCCTTTTTTGTAGTGATAAGGCATATGGTTTCTGTTGAGTACGCTAGTCACGGATTAAGTAAATGAATTGGTGATACAGAAATGAAAATGGGTTCCAGACCATTCTTGTTTATTGTATCATGACAATACACTGAAATTGCCTATTATTTATAACAGACCATTCTTTTAAATCAATTGAACCAACTATGTTAATATACACTACGCATGACGTATCTTTCTGTCGCTAAAAGTACATTCAATTGTAATTTCTCTGGAATTTCGTCAGTCTTTCTTTATCTAAGTAACAGCTTTGTTTAATAAAGTCTTGTAAAGGAGGGCATTATTCACGATATGAAATGATTTATTTACTGTGCCAAAAAATCAGTCAGTCAGTCAGCTACAACGTAGGACCAGGCACATATGTGCATCGGTCCAGGTTGCCATACCGCATCAGCACAACAAGATGAACACCGGATTCATAGCAGTGGTTATGTCAAAGGTGGTAATATATAAGAGAAAGATTGCATATAGAGATATAGTACAAGAAGAAAGAATTGGTTCGTAGAAAGAAAGATATGAAGTGATTTTAATCTCTTAGTTTAAGGGAAGACAGAGAGTGTATACACCGACGCCATTGTGATCGATTCTGAGCCATGTCACCAAGAGTCTCCAACCATTGGTTACGAAGTCACGCGGACCCCAACCAAGTAGTCTGCATCTACCAACATGGCTCAGACTAGAAGTTAGTGACTTCAAGCACTGATGCCACGTTTTGGTTTGGCCGCCCCTAACTTTCTTCCAACCATCTCCAATACCGGATAGCATTGCACGTCGTGGTAATCGGTGTTCAGGCATACGTAACACGTGGCCCAACCATCTCAGTCGATGAAGATTCATAACCTCATCAACTGATTTACCATCATTCCCTAATACCCTGCGTCTAACCTCACTATTACTTACCCGGTGATCCCAGCAGACGCCAGCAATATTTCTAAGGCATCTGTGGTCAAATACTAGTAGCTTACGAGTGTCTTCTACTCTTAAGGCCATGTTTCGCTGCCGTAAATTAAAACAGAACGGACTGCCGCGCAGTATACTCGTCCTTTTATTGATAGACGGATATCTCGCCTTCGCCAAAGGTGACGTAAGTTGGCAAAAGCCAAACGAGCTTTTCGAATCCGTGCTGAGATTTCGTCAGACACCAACCCATTAGGGCTGATCAGACTTCCAAGATAAGTGAAGTTGTCAACGCGTTCGACTACTTCACTCCCTATCCTTAGTTCAGGTGTTGACGCAGACCAGTCCTGAAGCAACAACTTGCATTTAGAGGGAGAGAAGCGCATTCCAAACATTCTGGCATTGTTGCTTAGTGCTACCAGAAGACTCTGCATTTTGTCAGCGTCTTCACCAAACAGGACTATGTCATCTGCGTATTCTAAGTCGATAAGTGGACCTCCTGGAAGGAGATCAATACCCGAGAATTCAGTCGACGAGAATGTTATTTCCATCAATAGGTCTATGATGAAGTTAAACAAAAATGGAAAAGGTGGACAGCCTTGACGGACACCACTTGAGGTTGCAAAAGTAGATGACAGTTCGCCATAAGCTCTGACTCGACTAGTAGTGTTCGAGTAAAGAGCCTTCACAAGGTTTATGTACTTCTGAGGTACGCCTTTCAATGACAGACACTGCCACAGAATCTCGCGGTCTACAGAGTCAAATGCTGCTTTTAAGTCAAGAAAGACCACCATCGTCGGACGCCGATAAGTATGCCTGTGTTCTAGAACCTGACGAATGGTGAATATGTGGTCGATGCAGCCACGACCAGGTCTAAAGCCAGCTTGGTTCTCTCGTGTTTGCAGTTCACGAGTCTTAGTTAGGCGTCTGATAATTATCGAGGCTAGTATTTTAGATATTATATTAGTTAAACTAATCCCTCTGTGGTTGTCACAGGATGATTTTGACCCTTTCTTATATATTGGGACGATAAGTGATTGTGACCAGTTAGATGGGATAACGTCTAACTCCCAGATTTAGCTAAAATATTAGTCAACCTAATCGCTAAAATTGGACCACCATCCTTAAAGACCTCTGGAGCCAGTCCATCTGGACCAGCTGCCCTTCCTCGTTTCAGATTAACTATAGCCTTTTGAACTTCAGCAAGAGTTGGGGGACCTACTTCAATGTTCCATTCACATTGTCTGGGAATGGAGGGTAGTTGTAGAGTAGCTGAAGGCCAGCTGAACTGTTCTCTGAAATGTTCCGCCCATCGTTCTAAACGTCTGGACTGGGAGCAGATGAGGGTATCGTCTTTTTCCGAAATAATCTCACTTACACTTGACTTATTAATTCCAGTTTCTTTTATTAGTCTGTAAAGCTGTCTTGTGTTCCCTATAGTCGCCGCCTTTTCCATCTCTTTTGCTTTCGTTGCCCACCACTGCTCACGGTCGTTTCTTAGACTTTTTCTTAACCTAGATCTGATTTGTTGTCGCTCTTCATCATGTTCGGAACCTGATGGGACGAGTTTGCGAGAATCCATCAGTGTGATAGACTTTGAAGAAATCCACTGGTTCTTTGTAACTCTGTGGTTTAAGTCGCTAATAGATGTCACTGCTGTTTCCACAGCTGCTTGTATGTCTTTCCAAGCAACATCTGGGTCAGCCTCGTTTTCGGAACTACCTAATTGTGAACTCAGTTGTTCTTGGAACCTATTTTTGGTGCCAAAAAATATACCACTACAATTCAAGATCATTTACACAATGTTCCCATTGAAATACTACGAATGTTAAAAACGCACCGATGAATATATCGTTTCAGTTTTTATGTGCATTATGCTTCCGAAAACGAATAATGAGTCATTGGACTCAATTCAAACTCAAGATCGTTTGAAGAAATTTTAATTGTACACAATAAAATTAGCTATGAAACGCATAAAGTATAGATTAGTAGTAGCAGTTGTCTTTCAACAAATGGCCTCCTTTTTTCCGTATTTATTTGATAAATGATAGTTACAATAATCTTCATGCAAACGGTTGCCTTCATAAATTTCAATAAAGCAAGAACGACAATACTTGTAAAATGTATGTAGTTGAATAGAAAGCAACGAAATGTCATCAATTCACTGTATTCTGTAAATATTATCGTCCTTGCTTTATCACAGCAATAATCTTCATTTATCATTCTATCCATGGATTTTATGACATCAGTAACGTTTTAAAAAAGTATGCGTCCGAATATTAACATGTCTGTACTGTATTAAAGTATTGAATACAGCATTATTATTACTACTACGAACTTTTGTGTTAGATTCTTATCTAGACTTTTACTGTTTAGTTCGTTACTTTTCTGCTCATTAAAAAATATATGTAGCTAAACGACGTGAACGATTAAAGGCATATTTAACTAAACAGCAAACTGAATTCGCTGATTTAAAGTTAGCGGCTGAAAATGCGGCTAAACAACGTCAAGAAGCAATAGAAGCTGAAAAGAAAGCTGATCAAATGCTGTTGGAATCAATTTCTATGTCTAATAAGTATCGAGAAGAAGTGATAGCTGAAACCAAGTATGTTTACTCCACATTAATTGATCTATAGTTGAATGGAATTATGTGGAATATATATAAAGAGTAGGGGTGCGTTGATCGTTACACTATTCAACTTTCAACCTCTAGGTTACAAGTTTAAATCTCATTCCACCTTTGTTGATTCTGCCAAGCGAGTAGTATCACTAGCCCTTTATAAAAACAGTGTGTCTTAAAACCAAATTGTAAAACCTGTACTTGATAAATGAACAGAAATAATGAAATATATGTAACTGTAGTAATCAGAAATTCAATGTCTTTATGATTCTTAATTCAATTTAAGGTGGTTCGGATTAACCCGTTGTTGATATTTTTGGTCGAAATTTAGTTGGGAAACGGGCATCCCGTGCGAATTACCTCGACAAAGTCATTATGACACAAGTTGATATAGACTAAGTTGAACGTGGATGGCAATGAAATCCAGGACGCGTGTTTCGTGATAATACAAACCATTTCAGATTGAATTAAATCTCATACCCGTTGCACAAGTAAGTAGACATCTGGACTCAGTAGCTAAGTCGGTAACGCGATGGCTCTTGAAGCAAACAATAGTTGATTCAAGTCCCCGAGTGAACATCAACTCTGGGATGCAGGTGCATCCAGCTGAAGAGTCTCAAATAGAGCGAAACGCACATCGTAGATCCCACTGCTAGCCCCATTTCATCTAGTCCATATCAATTTATAAATTTTAGTCCTATCATTTTTACAGTTCGAGAGATTCCATGCTAATATTTGCTAACTGTTCTTTAGTACGGCAAAATTTTAGACAGTTTCTGAGTGAATGTAACTTAAATTACTCTGTCAATCAAAAGTACTCAGAATTTTAGGCATTTTAAAATCCTGGGAAAATTTGAATCCCCTTAAATAACAGAAAAGACGCTCGTCTACTCAACTTCTATACTACACTTACTTATCGCAAATATTTAAATGTCTAGTTACCAAAGTTACAATTAATTTAATTGGAATTTGAGCGTATTAATGTTGTATTCGGTATCTGCATTCTTGGAAACTGAACAGTTTTTTGGAAATGATTCTGGCTAACGTCGAAATTAAATCGGAAGTGTAGTAAAATGGTGGTGATGTATAGATTTCGTGTTTGCGCGAAACGAGAACACTTCTCATCGTTCAGTTGTGCAATTCGTTTCACATACTTATTTCTATCTAGAGCTCTGTACACAATTCGGTGAACACAATCTATGCTAAAACTAATCCGAGTGTTGGTCATGTTATTCTTAAACCCCATCCGTATCTGAAGTGCAAAAATATTTTATTTATCTTATGTTTGAAATAAATTTACTAGGTGATGTACACCATTTATGTGTAAAATATATTCATTTAGTTTTCCAGAGAAGGTTAAAGCTATATAGGTATCTACTCAATCTTAAGATTTCTACAAATCTGGATATGTAGGCTCTTATAAATGCAGTGTAACGTAGCTTGTCGTTCAGATGTGTGTGCTAGTGGGAGTAAATGTGGTTGGCCACTGAGTGTAAAAAGCACAGGCATTCAACTTACTGACGACTAAATTTGTGATTTCCTTCCCTCTTATTGATTTCTACTTTGGACCCATTGAAAGTGACTGCTTGCAATTGTGTGTAATAAAGTGTTGTCTGGCGTTAATCTGATTCTCGATTCTTAATTGTGAATCGTTTATCTGATATAACGTGATCCAGTCTCAATTGTGTACTGCTCGAGTATCCGATCCAGCGGTATTGCAAACTCAATCAACCAGACCAGTCTCATTATCATATTACTTATTGTATTATGGTAATATACTACAGAGAGAAGAAAACATTTTAAATTATCTCTTTTATCAATATGTAACCGTACAAATTCATTTTTGTATTCATTCCAAAGTTAATTAACATTTATGTGCTTTATAAATTTCTCATCTAGTTGATAATTCCTTTAATAGACAAGCAAATCTAGGTAGGTAGTCTGTTGTTAATCTTGTTTTATTCATACACTTGGTAATTTATATAAGTTTATCATGTCTAGTTTAAAACAGATAGGCGGTAATATGATTAACAGTTTAACATATTGAAATCTTAGATACTGTTTATCACAATGATGTTTAAACAATTAAACTGTTACACAATTTATATATATATCGTTCTTATTTATTGATTTCTATCACAGAGCTGAATTAGAAGCATTTTACACGAATATAATACAACAAGCTGATGAACGTAGATTCAGTTTTGAAAAACATATTAAAAATGATCATATTCTTATTGAGGCATTGGAACCAAGTGCTATTAAAGCATTAGAATTTAAAGCAAATCGTTTTGCTCCCATGAGTAAGGATAAATGGAATGAAAAATCTTCAGTTGAAATTACTCCAAGTGTATTTAATCAGTCCTCTAAGATGTGTATCATTCCATCTGAAATGGTTCAACAAGAAAATAATGATCATCAACCACAATTACAATTTCATACTGTACAAAATGAAAAAGAAAATAACTTAGTTAAACCCGATAATTTATTGAGTGATGATCCTTTAACAATTCTACGTATTAAATTTCGTCAGCGTAATAAAGATGGATGCATATTCAAAGATCAAATGTCAGAGATAATTTATGGAGCTCATGAAAAATGTTCAGATGAAGTAAGATTTTTTGATGTTTTTATTATCCAATATTGATTATGATAATTCCTAATTCACTTTTTGTTGTATTTTGATGTTTTATGTGTTTATATTAAATCGGTTTTATGTTTTACTGATTATGCACGAAAAATGTTTTCTGCTGTCGTGTTAAAGTTCGTGTAACAGTTTTGTTGAATTATAGTTAACGGTAAATTCTATGACGTATGTTTTTTTGTCTGGAATTCATTCGGTGTTTGTTTCAGTGTTCCTTTGATTATAAATAATTTCACTTTCTCACAAATATGATAATAAATAATTGTGAAGATAATGTTCTATTCCCTCCGCCTCGTTATCCTTGCAAATGATATTGGGAATCACTTTACTACAATTAAAATTACTCTACATTGCTTCAGCTTTCTGTTTCGCTTCATTCTCATTCTCGACATACCTTTATTTGTGTTCAACAGCTCGTTTCTTACTGAAAGTTTTATCTCAATAATCGATTTTATGAGTGACATTTAAACTTTCCCCCTTTGGCTTTAGTATTACTCTAAGCGCCACAGTAAAGACAGCAATAATCTACTGGATCTACATTAACGGACATTATTTTCACCGTTATGTTAGAAGAAACCTGTGTAGGAAATGTTATCTTTTCGTAATCTCCCCGTACTCGTCAATAAATTACATCTCGAAAGCAACCAAATATTAGTTCTACCACTAGTCAAATAATCTCTTCAATAAGATTCATTCGATAGTTATTCTGGTTCTGGTTAGTGTCGAAGGGCAGAAGAGAGTCGCTTTAGTGCTCAATGGGGTTTCGGTGACTTAAGGTCAGATTACGTTAACTTCCTTCCATACCTTTGAGCTCCTGTCTAGCACTAGTTCCCGACGCGATCATTACCAATATGCTACCTGGTGTCCTTCTCCTCCAACTTGTGCCTGAACTTAGATTTCTCACATTACGACCCACTGTCTGTGGAGTGAACGTGTAAAAAATGGCTTCTCCTTCTAGAGTACCTATCTGAATAGTGATCATACTACGGCATCCGCTAACCTTAGTGGGCGATGGATTTTTCGTCCATTGTTAGTTCATTCATTAGGTTTGATGTGAATAGAGAAATGAAGAAGCCATGAAGCTATTTTTGCGGGCATTATTTTAATTTAAAGTTTGTAAAATACTAACATTTGATTTTTATCGTTAGATTATTCTGTAAATCATGAGCTGTCGTTTGATGCATGATTCACTTCCATAACCTTTTCTATCCTGAAGCTATGGTTATTGAAACCTAACCTTTTGTACTCTATTTTTTCCACTCTAATGCCCAGTTTTGACGTAATTGTACTTTTCTAATTGTTTATGCGTTGTGGTTATGTTAGTCATCTATTTATTCATGTGTCTTTTCTACACTAAGTTGAATCACGAATAAGTTGAGTAGTGTTTCAGTTGGTTCGTCTTCTCTCTCTCTCTCTCACTTGTTAACCAATTAGGCGGCAGGTTAGCTTTTGTCTCTCTGCTCAAGGCCGATAGTCTCGATTCGGACTCACTCATTTCTAACCTCAAAAATTTACCGGTTAGTCTATCGTGTCACGGCCCTAACCTAGATCGGGACAAGTTCTCTCTTGTTTATTGTTGAAAGACAGCTCAAGAGCACAACAATGTTACTTCTAATGGTATTAACTGGGTCCTCCACTGGTTGACAAGTTAGATTTTTAGAACTTTGGTACAATGTCATAGTTACAGTAATATTGTTTTTTTGTTTCAAACCAAAGTCTAATCAGATGAAAGGTAGAATTAGTTATCAGTCGGTCGGTGTATGATATAACGTAGCAAATTTATGGGATATTGAGAACAGATTTGCGTTGATAATACCCAAGTTGACGGCAATATGATTAGTACTCACAGAGCCCTATATTTTATTGAGTTGCCGAATATCAAACATTTATATTGTATATACGAAGGATTAATATATAAAAAAATACCAGTCGTTATTTACATTATAAGACGATCTAAGATTGTAATGGGTGATTTATGCTGATTTGTCCAACAATAAAATAAATAGTAAAATAAAGTTTTTATTTCAGTTCTCTTTTGCCGTTGTACATATATGTATCTATTTGTGCTTTCATTATTTGTAAATAGACGTAAAAATTGTTAAACCCATCTCTTCTTGTTTTCTTGTCCTTTTTCTTCAATATTTTATTACTTCATTCTTATACACGTACTACCTATTTTTTTCTTCTACAATCCCGTTTTGTTAGAAATCGATTGAGCCTAAATTTACCAAATCTGCCGATGCAAATAATTTGAATACTTTAACATCTATGAAATCCTTTCGGGAACGTAATACTTTTGGTCACTCTTCTGATTCAACTATTCAGCATATACTCTATGGTAAAGGTCTTGGTCCATCATCTAGGCCATCAGGTTAGTTTACTTACATTGTTTGAATAGTTTTACACGAGCATATATTTCCAGGTATATTTATACATATATCATTTATTGTGGCAAAGATTTTACATTTCTCTACATGAATAATTTCCTCTGAAATTTACCATCGATAAAGGTAAATGTTTGCCTGCGCTCCAGATCAATTAATTCTTTGTATTTGGCGACATAACGTTGATGAGAAAATTATTAACTGACTGAATGTAAACAATGTGTGCTTTGTTTAAAGCTTTTCTGAAGCTCTAAATGAAAGTAACTCAATCATTTTATTTCGATTATCCTCTTGATGATATCAGATTTCATTTTTAGCTGATTAGTATCGTTATAAATAAACTATTTTTTACTACGCATTTTAAAAGAATGAATTTTTATTTCGATTAATTCTATATATATGATCTATTAATTGCTTGTTATTCTTTCCTATCATTTCCCTTATTGTATGCATAAAGTTTGGGAAGCAGAACGTGAGAAAGAGGATGCAGTTCGCTTAGCTACGGAATTGCCTGAACCGGACGCAGTCACATTTTATAAAGAAGCCTTAGAATTTTCGGACAATACGTCACCAGTAAAACCGTTTACCAAAGAATTCCCATCACTTGGTACGTTTACATTCTTAATGTCTGTTCTAGAATATAGTGTATTTTTTCATGTGATATATCAGTGCACTTAGTGTTTCAACTTTATTGAAACTGTGTTTGATTGTGAATATTCTCCTACGAATCACTAGGTCCAACTGTCCTCATACCATTGGGGTCCAAAAGTGACGTAATATAGTGAGTTTTGGCTATATACATTTGTAAAGTTCCTATATGCTCTAGAAAAAAATCCAGTGTCATGCTATGTATCCTTTCTATCTGACATTTGTCGATATTCCACGGTAATGCATTCTAATAACATAAATTGATTCCGTGACAAAGGTTTCTGATAAGTCTCAATATATATAAAGCTGGAGTATAGAGCTCTGTTGATTCCAACTTTAAACTCCCAAAGCAAACTTGTTTAGTAATTTCGCTTCTTGAATTATTTGGGTTGTATCTCAGTAACATAAATCTTCAATCGTCAACGTATAAGTACATGATTATGTTTGCATATTTCTGTAGTACCTTCAAATTTGACAAAATAATTGCAGCCGATAATCAAATACAAATATCCACAAATATTTACTAAAATTCCATGTCTCGAATGAGTTTATCACTTATTTGTAGAGTGTGATCCAGTCTCTTTTCATTTAGATTTTATTCCAAGACTGAAATTTCCACCTGTAAAAAACTCAGTTGCTGTCCTTCATTATTCAAACAAGATATTATTCCTAAATCATCTCTAGCTTTGAGCGTTGTTTACACGTAACGTGTATCAAATCGACTCCTATAATTGATAAATGATTGTTTGGTTGTTATTTAATTGAGACCAATACTATATAAATGTATCTCATAATGTTTTAATGATTTGTTTTACATATGGATATGTAAGTATCCGTTATATTGCTCATATTTGTATTCCGTATACTCAGAAATACATTTTGGTGCTCACAAAGTATATCGTACACACTCCCTCAATATTGACTGTGAATGTACAAGTTTTTATACTCAGCTATGAACTATAATATTTGTATTGAGGGCTGGTGATATCACTGAATTAGGCAAAGCGATGATTAAAACCGCGATTTATTTCTCGTAAGCTGTTATAGAGGAAGGTTTTATGATTTGTATTGAAAAATGTTTAAGAATTGTTAAATAGATGAGTAAAATGTTGATGGATATGTGAAATAGGATGATACAATGTAGTCGAGTGATAACTGCTCACAAAACCTGGTCATTGACACAAGCCCCCATATGAACAGATGTCAAAAGACAAAACATCTGCTCAGCAAAATAGGTTTTTCTTCCTAATAGCAACACGTTTATGCACAAAACTATAATTAAGTCATATATAATTGGAAATTACAGGTTTTTTTTAGGTTACTTGCTGACTAATTAATTAAGACGTGGTTGCTGGGGCTAATTTTTACTCGTCAAGTGACAATTGCTTAAACCTATGAGCCACTGCTCTACTTTAGAAATAAGCAGACCGCATATTCATGAGATGGAGCTTGCACTAAACCTAGTCCGCAATAATATCGTCATGTAATATCCCATAGGCCTTGATAGATCTGACAACTCGGAAGTCACCAGAAAGTCAGAGCATCTAGGATGTTAGTCTTAATTATCGAATTGATGATACATCTCAACAATTTTAGTTTCGTTATTTTCAACTGATTACCTATTCTGCTAGTTAAAAAATAGTTTCTTTTGACTAATTTTTTTGTCGTTACCATAGATCAAAATTGTCTTTCTGTGTCGTCAATATTCAAAAACTCTGATTCATCTGTACAGTCTTCAAATGAACTTGACAATTTGTTTAAAAATTCAAATGGTTCACTATCAATGCCCTTAAGTGTACTAATCAACCGTTCCTTGATTTGGCCTCTCAGTATTCAGTAGGTTTTATTTGATTCGTTTCTTTCATTTTCAAAAGTGTTACTTTGTTTTGAAAATTTCTCCTTCATTTTTAAGATTATAAATTACCAGTGGATGTGCTGTATATATATTCATCTTATGTCGTTAGAAGTTTACGCTTAGTTGTCCTGAAGATATTGGTGATCTACTTTATAGCTTTTTCAAATTTTCCACTTTAAGACGAGTTGTAGTTGGTTTTTTCAATTGAACGTTTTGATGTGGAGTTAACTTAAACCTTAGATAATGGATCTGAGTGACATTGAAAGAGATTTTTATAAACCAAACAAATCATCAATACCTTAAATGTGATCTTACTGAACATTCTTTACCTTTCTGAACAGAATGTATCTCTATTGCCTGGTTGTAAACTATAAATTAACATCTTCGCTTAAGATGATTTAAATATCTAGTTTCTTAAAGCCAGCGATACAGAAATCGGTACAATGGAAAATGGTACATAAGTTATTTTGAAAGTTTGAGTTAATGATTCTGTGAATTTAATATGTTTGTCAGGCACTATTTAGATGATAAGAAAACAAATACAACATCAAATTTGATGTTTTTCAACTAATCATCACTTTCAATTGTAATCATGAACCGACCAATGTTAGACTACCATTGAAACCCTGGAAGCACTAGACGGCCATTTAATCCTAGTATGGGACTCAGCAATGCACATCCATGATCTCGCACGCAGGACTCGAACCCATCATTGGCCGGTTCATAATTTTATTTGAAACTCAACAATCTTCATAACCTTATACTGATAATTATCACTTTCTTTGAACAAATTTTCATTTCTGTGTTTTTCTACATATTTTACAGCATGAAACATGTTAACAAAACACTGTGCAATTATTTCATATTTGATCTTCGTCTATGTGATCACTTTTATTGTTTGTATGAAACTTATTTCCTAAACAATGGAAGTTTTGCTCAACCATTATTGAATGCTTTATTTCATAAGGTTGGTAGTAATTGTTTGTTTTATTAAATTTTAAATCAAGTAAACTATTACAAATGATTGTTTAAAGTTGGTATTATCTCATTATGTATATTTTTGCAATATTTAGAAAAAAGTAACCAGATTGTTGTTGTCCCTGGTCTTAGGTTTTAATTGAACTCCTTAAGTATTACATTCTTCTCGACTTCTAGTGTCTTTGACTTGTAGTACATTTCACCGTAATTTGATCAATTCTAGACGGAATAGAATAATCTAGGCATAAATTATATTCTGAAGATAAATTCTGGAACGACTGTACAGAGGTAAGAAACTCAATTGTTTATGTAATAAGTTACATGGGAAACTTCTAGGGTATCCTAAAAATATCCAGTTTGAAAAGAAGCCAGTCGACATGTACAGAATACCTTCGTTCTAAACATGCAAGCTTATTCGTTTGATGAGGGATATACCCTATTTACATTTTGTCATACTGTATTTTGCTGAATTTCCTGGTGCTTTTCAAAATAAAAATTGTCCATAAATTCTACTGATCTATGAGTTATTCTCCAATGTGTCTTCAACTAGTTTAGTATATAATCATTACATATCCATATCGATCAGACTTAAGTGGAGCTATCTGTTTAATAAAATACCCTCAATTTCAAAAGTATATACTTAATCTAAATGAAATTGGCTTATATATGATTTATTCATTAAGCATGTAATTTTTTATTATTCATACATTATTAAGTTCCATCTGAAAAGCCGGATAAAATCTCCGGCTCTTGTGCAAGGCGTTTCATTCATAGCCCTTTGGATATATTTGTACCGAGTTATTAAGCTACGTCTGTTTTCTTATTGTTAAGCTCTTCATTCTGTATTTCGCTTTCGGTCACTTGTTTCCAGGGATGACAGTTGAAAATACTGTTGTGTTTGCTCTCCTTAAAATTAATGTAAGGGTATTAAATTTGTTGTAAGTAACTCAGAAAATGTTAGTATTGACGAGGATCACGTTTGGAAAAATGGAAAATAATTCCATTTTTTCATTAATGTATCTTTGGTTTTGGTGCTTAGTTGAATATTAGCACATCTAGACGATGATCTTATAGAAACGAATGTAGAGCGTATTTATAATTTAGAATCAAGATTTTTCATACTGATATGTTTACACTAGTTATCGATAATATGCCTTTTTCTAATTTGAATTTTGAGCAGTATTTTTGAAATAGTAGGTTACCGTCTGATTGAATTCAGATTAATTCGTAGAGAAGCCCTTTTTAATGAATTAAAACTATTTAGAAGTTAAGTTGTCACTAACTATAATTATTAGGATAGATTCCTGTAACGTGCATTCTGTTGGAATTAAGGAGCCAATGTTAACCACTGGATTTGGAATAAGAATTTTCCCACTTCTCTTAATTTGATATTCCGTATACATCAATTGATTTTTAATATTTGACATTTTGCTTTAGACAGAAATTAATTGGTCATGTAAATGCAATAAGTAGAACTCTTGATTGAAATCACAATGCAAGAAGGTGTTTTGGTGTTTGAAACGACAAATACTCTCTTATCAAGTTGAAGTGGAATCATGTACGCTGATTAGGATGTGTGTAGGTTGTATTCAAGTGATGAATTCCCAAACAGTTGAAAACATATTTTCTATATTCTACTACTTATATAGAATGCAAATATAGATTTTCGTTATTTTTTCTAGGCTTCTGGAACAGTTTATGATCGTGCCAGCATATTTGATACACATTATCTTCAACAGCTTTTAAAATCAGTCAGTTCAGAAATGTCAAACCAACAAATGTTATCAAATTTTAATTCAGATCTTAATAATAATGATAAACATGACGATGTTTCTGTTAATTCTCCACTGTTAAACACTACAAACTTGATTAAGAATTACTTAGATTTGATCTCTTTGTCGTCAATATCAACAACAAAACAACTATCAACTATTGGTTCTTTAAATAATGATTTCGATGTAGAATCAAATCATTCTATAGTTGATAATAGTTCATCTATTATTGACCAATATGAATATATATCTTTTAAGAATTTACATTTAATGTATAATGCTCCATGGCCAATTAATCTTTGTTTTAATGTTAATATAATCAAAAAATACAATTGTATATTTCAACGTTTAATCCAATGTCAATTTGCTTTATGGGCATTGAATTCATGTATTATACAATTAAAAAATGATCGTAATTATTGTTTAAATCATTTATTAAATTTAAGAAATATCTCTTCATCTTCGACTTTATCATCATCATCACCATCATCATCATTCATTACTCTATTTGATCAATTATCAAAATCATTTCATTCTATCTATTTATGGTTACATGAATTACATCAAGTTATTCATAGTTTAAATATGCATTTATCAAATCATGTTAATGCATGTTGGAGTAAATTTATGAAATATTTAGGATTATCTAATACATTTTATAATTTTATGTCCGAAGGTAATTCATTTAAAATGTATAAACATATCATAGAAAATATTATGGATAATGAAGAATCTATTAAAAGTGAACAAATTAACAATTTGAATGTGTTGTTCAATGCACATGAAAATTATTTGAATGAAATTCTATCTGGGTAAATTTTCTTTTCTTTTATTTCATTATTATTTGTGTATATTGAATTACGGGTTATGTAGAAATGTCTTCTGAATTTGATATATTAAAGTAAAAGTCGTTACAGTTCTGGTTCAAAAGAAAAGAAGTTTAATTTAACGTTTATTATGTTTATAAGTGGAAATTTCATAAACCAGTACTTCTTTTTTATTGAATTTTAATTGATCATTCGGTTTATGATAATATATATTGTTTATTTCAACTTTTTTCCAGACTATATTACCACTTTTTCAATTTAAAAACACTTATATTTAAATACTAAAGGAATGAATAGCTCTGAGATAAAAGTTCGTGGACGTTATAGGGAACAAAGAAAAATAAACTCGAAAATTACAGTAGATAATATTAGTTTCAGTCTACTTTCTACAATCGTTGTTGCGTGTACTATCTAGCTCTATATGTATGAAACTTATTTAAACAGAAACTGGATTTTTAGTTTGAATCTTAACTTTATATTCCCCTGAGTTGATTATAGGCTGTTATAAGCATGAATGTATATAAATCTAATTCGTTAAAGCATTAATGTTATGGACATTCTGTTTGCCATCACTGTATAAAGAATGTGGGCTTTAAATCAGTTAGTTATCTATTTATAAGATTCACTTCAATGTCAAATTATGTAAATTCCGGTTTGTGAATGTCTGGGTCGTACTCTAACTGTTCATATTTCAGTGTTCGTTAATGTTTATGCTGATTAGTCTGTATTTCGTTTGCTAATCTTAACATTGGTTAAAATAACAGTACGACCTTATATTTCTACCTCCTATGCTTTTGATACTGACTGTGTTTAAATGTGGCTACCTTTGTTTACATATGTGTATTTATGAAGTAGAATAGTAATAATGTTGTTCATATTTTAATTTTCTTTTAGGCTTTTGCTGGATGTATCAGATAGTGAATTAAATCTACTTTTCCAAGGTTTGCTGACATGTGCACATCAGTTTCATCGTGCTTTATTAACAGGAAGATGGATTGTTAAATCATCGCATCATCAGTTTAGTGATATTGATGGTACTCAACAACAGTTATTGAGTAATGAACAGATTGAGCATACAGAATGGAGGCAGTTGTATGCGGTTCATGCAAGTTTTCGAAGTTACAGTCAATTTTTAAGACGTCGTGTTAATCGATTACTTGTTCATGATACTACTGATGGAGGTAGCAGTGTTAGAAGCGCTAGGTCAAAATTGGCACAGTTAACTATAATATTTGGTTTAAATGATTTTTATACTTCGACAAATGCTGAATTAAATATTATTTGATTGTTTCTTGCTTTTTTTTCTATATTTTAATTCTACAAAAAATAATTTATTCGACAGTGAACAGGAACTTTTCTGTAAAATTTTATTTCTATTCTAAACTTTATTATTTTTTTATATTTGACCTTTATATTACATTTAGGAGATCCAACACACTTGCATACAAGCAAAACATATCAAATTACCTTGTTATATTATAGTATGAAATTAATAAATAATTTTGTTCGCTCTTTAAATTAATGCATTTGTTTTCGTTTATTGATTTCCAGTGTGTGATCTTTGGAATAGACTCACTGTCGATTCAAGTAACTTGTATGAAGTTTATTTGTTTGACATTTAATGACATTTTAATCATGCGCCGATTTTAAACCTTATAATGTTTAATGTTTCATATATTCATTCATAGTTGTCTGCATGATGAGGCACTTAAAGTCTTCGTTAAATTAAGAATTAGTAAGTGTCAAAGACAGAGCATTCTCAATAATGACTGCTACTTTCACTCATGAAATATTGTGGCATCTAAAATTTTGAGTTAACATCTTGGCCATTTTAACACTGATTAATACCCTCATTGTAAATTAATAGATTTTGAGTATCTGTAAAACTTTGAGCAACCTTTTACAGATAGAGATCTTTCTCATTGTTATAGTTGTCTTGCTGCGGTGACCAAAAACATTAGTTTCTTTATTATTGTTATTACTTAAGATTCATGTTCAGACACCTAAATCATTTAGAGAATGATGATAAGACCCTTAAACTATTTGTAATTAAGATAACACAGCTTGAATAATTGGCTTTTCATATCGAAAATACCTGTATATTATTTTAAAGTCATCGATCTTACGTTTTACTGATGTCAGAACTTTGATAGTGAATATTGAAATAGTCCTTCGAAAATTCTGTCCCAAAGTTCCCGTTCGTCGTATGAAATTTGGATAAATTCAACTTTCAGTTTATTTTGTCGAAGTCTCCTTAACACATTCATTTTAATTTTGTTTTATGTTGTATAAGAACCTACAATGTAGAAATTGTTCCAGCTGATAACGTCAAGTTTATGAATAGTATTGTAGTGAGCGAGGACTCAGGCGGAGAAGACCAATTTATTACTTAATGCTAGAGTGTCTTCGTAAATTATGGAAACCATTTATTCAATACTTCATTTGCACATCTATCATTTGTCTCTCATAAATTTCATCGTTTCTTCATTCCTGTTGTTATTACAATTACTCTGTTTACATTCCTGTTTTCTTCAACTCAACCTTCTACTTCCGGGCATGCCTCTTCTGATTGGCGTTACATACTACATGTGTCTGTCGATATAAGTAGCATACACCACAGTATTGCAAATTGCATACACTTATTATTTCAAAAATTTTTAAAATTGCTGTAACTGTTTCCCAAAATATTTTTGTTAGTTATGTTCAATAAGTGAAGCAATCATTATAATTTAAGACCTGATAAAAATAAAAGATTTGATAATAATTATAATAAATTTTGTATGTGAAAATCCGTGTCCATTTTATAAATTAGGAAAATGGATTATTGTATGCATTAAGAGAGGGTTGCTTAAAATGTTGTATTACCTTCATGAAGTTGACGATCTAATGAACACTAGCAAAAATTCTGGCCCATAAGGTTTATGCAGTAAAATTAGAGTAATTTCATTAATAACCGTAAGAATTTTACTTGGTATTGTTATTATTATAATGTAGTAATATTCCGAATGAATCAACTGACAAGTATTCGTTACTTCTTTGCTTCCATCAATGTTTTGTTTATTTATAAGGAAAAATTGATTTCTTATAGTAGTTTTTTCAGTCTTTATTCAAGTCTGATGCAACAAATGTTTGTTTGATTATTTGCAGCTCTTTTAAATTTCTTTTTCAGAACGTTTATGCCTTTTATGATGCCTTGAGTAATAATTATAACTATTCTGTCTATATGATAGGCTATGTAGATTTGATACTTGACCACTATCTTTAAACAACGCTTGTTCAGTTGTTAAATACAACGGTTTATTAAATTTCATTAAGCGTTGTTTTGATTGATAACGTTTATTTCGTTTTTTGTGTGAAATCGCTGCTAACGAATTCTGTTCCCTAGTACCAGATAATTTACCATGTGATTCACCAGTTCCTTTGAATTGAAATTCTAGTAGCGGTTTTTGCTTCTCATTATTTTTATCATCCTTCTGGTCATTATCTACTAGTTGTGTTTTCATTTTGGACGAATCAACCTCTTTTATACTGTTAGGATTCTTCTGACCTTCATTTTGGTCGTTACCATCTTCATTGTAGCACACAAGAGAATTCCATTCTTCGCAAGGATAAGATTTTATTTTTTGATACTTTGCAGCTTGTTTCATTGCAACACGAACTCTAGATATGTATTCGTTTATCCAACCTTGGCTTTCAATTTCCTGAAGCTGGATTTTTTCATCAATTGATTCTGTATTAGTTTCATTCGATACTTTATCGTTTACAGTTGTAATTGTTAGTAACTTTCTCATATGATAGGGTAGGCAGGTAAGAACAGGGTCTATTAAATCTTCTTTCTGTTGTCCTTCTGTAACGTTTGAAGTATCTTCTTTACATTGTTCGTGGGATTGTTTTGATTGTTTAAGATTGATGTCTTCCGGTTTGTTTTCAGTTGATACTGGACGATAATGTTTATCTGTAAATTTTTTCCATTCTCTTGCAATTTTCATTTTATAATATAAACAGTTGATACTTTCAACAAGATTCATTAAAATATAAAATATCAAAAGTAATATCACCGGTAGTAAATATGACAGAAACGAGTAATTTTCTAAATAATATTTTAAATAAATTAATGAATAATTTATGATCAATATCCATTTTGATATTGGTACACCACGTAGATCATAATCATAATCTTTTGCATATTCATTTATATCTTTATATGTTGGATCAATAATGTGGATAGGAAATAATGACTTGGTTGGCATAAATTGTTAATTTTATGCATCCGTGTAAAGAAAGTACAATTCTTTGTGGATCAGTTTATTTAATACTTACTAAGTATTATACATAGCAGTAGATTTTATTGATAGAAATTTTATTTCAAACTTAGTCACATTACATTTTCAAGGTCATGAGATGTGATACATTTCACTATATTAGATGATATTGGTCAACAAGAAATATGTTGGTTAACATTTAGAAAAGTATTGGTTGAATTGAAGCATGAATTCAGGGATTATATTGACTTGTATGAAGATTTAATACAGCTACCAGTAAACTAAAATTCAAGCAGCTTAATATAATCACCTCAGACATTTGAGATTAACAAAATATGGCTTTTTTAAGGGTGTAGATTATTCATAGTAGCAACAAGCTAGCAAGCTGAATTTAAAATCACTAAACATCTATATTCTAACTTCATGTGCTGTAGTATCGATATGGACTAAAAAGGATATACTTAAATGTTGTACCCTTCTTGCACCATAGGCCACCGACCAAGGAATCCTAACAACTCTGTCTTGGGCTCTCTCTTTTAGGTATACACATCCAGTTCCTAGAGCCTCTTTCTTTGCCATCAGGACTTCAATTTGGAATCTATCTGATAATCCAGTGTTATGAATTTAAGTTGTGGTCGACTTTTACCCTGTGCTAATTGTTGTGTCCTTGACTGGAAAATTAGAGAGCAGCGTACTTATCGATCGATTCAATGACACGTAAACACGTACGGACGGCCTAGAGTCTCTATTGGTCTCGCTTCCCTGTCTAGCCCAGTCAGTTGAGTCCAGAACACAAGTCACAGCCTCGGAGATATGAATCATTGTATTTCAGACATGCTCTATTTATATACCAAACAAGCAAACCACATCGTACCATAAAAATAGTAAACAACATTTACACAATATGTAACGAATGAATTAAATAATAGCCAATAGGGAATGTACATTTAAAGTCCAAGGACACCATTGGACTTAACATGATAATTATTGGTCTATTATTCTGTATCCACAACATCCAGTTTGTTGGCTTCTGCGATGTGTGTCTGAAATAGCTCTCGGTTTTCCACATCTAGTGCCTGTCACACTATCTACTAGTCCGATTAGGTAAATAACCAGTCATTATTTTTCTTGCCCACATATCAGTATCCCTCCTAAAGGCTTCGCATGATGGTGAAGATATTTTCACGTATTTCATAATATCGACGATCCTACCGTACCTTTCATTCACACTGTCGCATACTGCCTCATAATCAAGGAGCTTAATACGAAATGATGAATTATGTTTTATTGATTTTACAGCGTTGCAGTTTTGTCCGTACATGATCAGTTGCTACGAAAGCCAGCTTGTTTACCTTGAAGATGTATCTGCTGAGTGATTTGTTCGGTTCAGTAACACCACTGAAAACTTTACTTGGTGCTGACAGTAGTGTGATCCCTCTGTAGTTCTCACACTTACTATGATCTTGATTCTCTTTGTGTTATGTCGCCATAAGCATAATGAATGGTAACTTTTGGGATCCATTTATGGACCAATCCCGACCGTTGTTGCTACCTTGACGTGGTGGTCGGGCTTGCCTATCGTGATGAAGCAACCGAGCTATACTGACTGAAACAACCGTTCCTCAAGGTCCTACCATGTCAGAAAGGTCGGTTGAAGAGCGGTAAGACTAAAAGCAACAAACCCAAGGTCCGAAGGCGAAGTCGTACTGCTTACTGTACAGAGGTGTGACAGCAGTAAGGTGTTTCCTTCAGACAACCAGCATGACAGCGATGCTGCCTTCCCACAAGGAGGGGTGGGGTTAGAAAAGGTCGACCCTAAAAATGCACACCTCGCCTTATCTCACGGATATCCGTCTCTGGCGGTAAGGTCTCAACAAGTACGGAGCTAACACAAAAATTACCCATGAAAAGCTCGTGTGTGACCGACCTCAAGCAGTTGTCCCTTGGGCACTGCGGTCACGCTCCCAGGTCACTAAGACCACCTCTAATCCAATTTCCTTTTCAGGTACCTCCAGAACAACGCTTCCACGGTGTGGGCAACCGGGAAGTGATAACCGCCCTCATACCTCTAACAGCACTCAAGACCACTGTATTCATAATCAACCTTCCTCTTCAATTCCTATTATTCCTCCTACATCGACTTTCAACTCTAAACTTCCTCTTTCGGCTTCCCCTCAAGTGTCACCATAGCCAACGATTCTGGTGCGCAAAACACTGTCCCAGGTCTACTGAAACCTCGCTCCACACTACACATTGGAGCCTTCAACGTACGAACCCTATTTCAAATCGGTCAGCAGGCTTCCTTGGCTAAAACCCTAGAGTCTCTTTCCATTGATGTATGCTGTGTCTCCGAAACACGCATACAGGACTCTAGTGTGGTCATTCACCTGACCTCACCTCGGCAAAACGGAGAGCCAACGAGATACACCCTCCGCGTATCCGGTGACCCGATGGCCAGTTCTCGTGGACTGGCAGGTGTAGAGATAGCACTAGTCATGAGGGCGGAACAAGCACTGCTAGAGTGGATCCCCGTTAACAGACGTTTATGTGCTGTTCGGCTAAACGGCTCCGTAAGAACTCGGAAGGATAGGGACACACGTCGTTGCCTATTCGTCGTTTCTGCCTACGCTCCCACTGACTGCAGCTCAGATGATGTGAAAGATGAATTGTACAGAAAGCTGTCCGAACTTCTTCAGAAAGCTAAACGCTCAGACATAGTACTCGTAGCAGGTGACTTTAATGCTCAGATAGGTAGTTTAAACCAAACAGAAAGGCATTTAGGTGGGTATTTTAGTATACCGGCACAACGAACAGATAATGGTGACCATCTGCTGCAACTGTGCTCAGACAATCGCTTATTTCTAGCAAACACAAAACATGGCGACCCCCTACACCAAACCAACGATGGACTCAAATAGACCATATTGCCATCAGTCATCGTTGGAGAGGGTCGGTAGAAGATTGTCGCTCATTCTGGAGTACCTGCTTGGACTCCGACCACGCCCTAATACGGGCACGCATCTGCTTGCGCCTCACTGGACGCAAAAAAGCCACATTAAAAAGACCCATTAGAACTGAATTGAGTAACGAGAAAACCAAAAGTAGGTTCCAGGAACAACTGAGGTCACACTTAGGTAGTTCTGAAAACGAGGCTGACCCAGATGTTGCTTGGAAAGCATACAAACAGCTGTGGAAACAGCAGTGAGATCTATTAGTGACTTAAACCACAGAGTTACAAGGAACCAGTGGATTTCTTCAAAGTCTATCACACTGATGGATTCTCGCAAACTCGTCCCATCAGGTTCCGAACATGATGAAGAGCGACAACAAATCAGATCTAGGTTAAGAAAAAGTCTAAGAAACGACCGTGAGCAGTGGTGGGCAACGAAAGCAAAAGAGATGGAAAAGGCGGCGACTATAGGGAACACAAGACAGCTTTACAGACTAATAAAAGAAACTGGAATTAATAAGTTAAGTGTAAGTGAGATTATTTCGGAAAAAGACGACACCCTCATCTGCTCCCAGTCCAGACGTTTAGAACGATGGGCGGAACATTTCAGAGAACAGTTCAGCTGGCCTTCAGCTACTCTACAACTACCCTCCATTCCCAGACAGTGTGAATGGAACATTGAAGTAGGTCCCCCAACTCTCGCTGAAGTTCAAAAGGCTATAGTTAATCTGAAACGAGGAAGGGCAGCTGGTCCAGATGGACTGGCTCCAGAGGTCTTTAAGGATGGTGGTCCAATTTTAGCGATTAGGTTGACTAATATTTTAGCTAAAATCTGGGAGTTAGACGTTATCCCATCTAACTGGTCACAATCACTTATCGTCCCAATATATAAGAAAGGGTCAAAATCATCCTGTGACAACCACAGAGGGATTAGTTTAACTAATATAATATCTAAAATACTAGCCTCGATAATTATCAGACGCCTAACTAAGACTCGTGAACTGCAAACACAAGAGAACCAAGCTGGCTTTCGACCTGGTCGTGGCTGCATCGACCACATATTCACCATTCGTCAGGTTCTAGAACACAGGCATACTTATTGGCGTCCGACAATGTTGGTCTTTCTTGACTTGAAAGCAGCATTTGACTCGGTAGACCGCGAGATTCTGTGACAGTGTCTGTCATTGAAAGGCGAACCTCAGAAGTACATAAACCTTGTAAAGGCTCTTTACTCGGACAATATAAGTCGAGTCAGAGCTTATGACGAACTGTCATCTGCTTTTGCAACCTCAAGTGGTGTCCTTCAAGGCTGTCCACCTTTTCCATTTTTGTTTAACTTCATCATAGACCTATTGATGGAAATAACATTCTCGTCTACTGAATTCTCGATTATTGATCTCCTTCCAGGAGGTCCACTTACTTACTTACTTACGCCTGTTACTCCTCGTGAAGGAGCATAGGCCACTCACCAGCATTCTCCATCCAACCCTGTCCTGGGCAATCCTTTCTAGCTCCGTCCAGTTGTAATTCATCCTTTTCATATCTGCTTCTATAATCCGACGCAATGTGTTCTTTGGCCTTCCTCTTTTTCGCCTCCCTTCAGGGTTCCAAGTTAGGGCTTGCCTCGTGATGCAGTTTGACGGTTTGCGTAATGTATGTCCTATCCATTTCCATCGTCTTTTCCTAATTTCTTCTTCAGCTGGAAGTTGCTTTGTTCTCTCCCACAGAAGGCTATTGCTGATGGTATCCGGCCAGTGGATGTTGAGTATCTTGCGTAGACAGCTATTTATAAATACTTGTACTTTCTTGATGGTGGTTGTTGTAGTTCTCCAAGTTTCAGCTCCATACAGTAGAACTGCCTTGACGTTCGTATTGAAGATTCTCACTTTGATATTGGTTGAAAGTTGTTTTGAGTTCCATATGTTCTTCAATTGTAGGAATGCGACCCTTGCTTTGCCGATCCTCGCCTTTACGTCTGCATCTGAACCTCCTTGTTCATCGATGATGCTTCCTAGGTATGTGAAGGACTCTACATCTTCCAGAGTTTCGCCATCAAGAGTG